GATTTTTGTTTCCCCATATAGGAGACACAGATAAAGGTGGTAAATTGTTGAATATATATTGACAAGTTCACACATTTTGCATCTTTCTGATAAAATACATTTAGACAGTTTATGCATTATTTATGACAGAATTATCTTCCGCTGGAAATAATGTGACAATGCAATTTCTAGTCGTCAAATACTGTAGATTCCTCAACTTGTTTTCCAATGCTTCAATATTTCCATCTTTGTGTGAGTCAATGTCCAATTGTTTCTCAGTGAAACTCTGCATACTAGTCATAGGTGGATCCAAAAATGTCAAAATGAAAGAAGCCAGAGGCAAATATTGAGAATTTTAGTTTGAATTAGTCATGTTTACAAAAGGTCTAATGTCAGAGTTATTTCTAAATAAACACATGCAGTGATCTCTTATAATGGTTTATTGTTGACCCTCTGTTCATTGAAACCTTATATTGTGTTACTTCATAATAACGCGTAGTGATTAAAATTTTAAATATTTCCCAGTTTCCTTTATTGTGTGCATTTACATGATAAAAGATATCTGTTTGATCCTTAGAGATTTACTAGGTTGCTGGAAGCATTCCACAAAATTGATTTCAAGTTTGTATGAATTTTAGATTATTATTTTGTTAATGTTAGATTGGAAAATGTTGGTGTTTTAAAATATCAGAATGAAATTGCATTTTGAAAGTGTTTATTTACAATCAAATTAATATTTTGAGCATTTCATTTGATTGACATAATTTATGACAGTAAAATCTTCCAAGAACAATTATCTATTTATATCCTGTGTTACTAGTTTTATAAATGTATCAGAGAGAATGAGATTGCTGAAGGGACTATATATAGTAATCAAAATCAGAGAAATCTGGAGAGTATTTATTTATTGCATGACATAAAGTTCTTTTAAACTGGACTACAGTTAAATTCATCTGTGAATGCATGTGTACACTGTTTTTATTGGGTTTTTGCATTTTGTGACCTTTAATCCATATATCAAAATATCTGGGTTAAATGTATAATTATATGAAAATTCTGTGAAAATGTATGTGAAAGAAATGGTCTTGAATTATATCTCTTCAAAGGATTTCACTGGGGGTTATAAGAGAGTGATCACACAACCTGCATGGTGTTTTTAAATGTTAGAATGGTGTGCTGATGAACAATAATGTCAAACCAGAATTCAAAATACTGTGAAACAAGATGTTTATAATATGTTTCAATATGAGACTGTGTTTAGATGTTTTCAAAGACTTGTGAATTTGCTAATTATAATTTTAAAAATTCAAATTTAGTGGTTTATTGATGATTTGTTACTTATGCTTTGTTAGTATTTTGTTAGAGTGTTTTGTTAGCCTCATTTGCATGTGCAAATTACTAATGGAATACTTATCAAAACACAGTGTTTTGTTAGTAGTTTGTTAGATAGTATTTTGTTAAAGCGTTTTGTTAGTAAGTGTTTTCAAAACTTGCAGCTCATTTGCATGTGATTTTTTTCAAAACACTTTGATACTTTGTAAGTATTTTGTTATAGTATTTTGTTTCCCCCTTTTTTTCATTTGGGTTGCTGGAAGCATTGCACAAAATTGATTTCAAGTTTGTATGAATTATAGATTATTGTTTGTCATATTTTGAAAATTCTCTCTACAACATCAGACATTATGATAATTTATGACAAATGAGAAAATTTCCCATATAAATGTATGGAATGCAGCTGACTTTATAGTAATCAATAGAGAAAGGAGAGTGCAACTGTACTCAGTAATTCAGTGCATACACATGCATTTTGTGATCAAAATATCTGTATAAGAATGTCTGATAAAAGTGCTTGAAATACTTCTTTGAGTGGGGGTTGATATCGCACAACCTGCATGTTGTCTACTTTTGACATGTCTGATGAACAAGACAGCCAGACTCCTTGGAGAGTTGCTGTAATTTGTTAACTGTGTAATATCCTCCTCTCAAATGCAAATTACTTTGCAACAGCTTTCAAAAAGAGATTATCGTACAAGGCAAAAAAAAATTTATTTTCACATGGTACTTTGTGTAATTATTGTATAATGATAAAGTGCAGCAATTTGAGCAGTATTTTTCTCTGTTACCCCCCTTATTGTAAATTCCCCCTCCCCATGCAGCCCCATTTAAGACCAACCACTGGCACCAAATCTCCAGCGTCAAGCATCCAAACTAATTCCCACCACCAGTTATCCATACAAACCACAAAACTCACCACTGGGCCAACACTGTGAATTACAACCACCAAACATCCACTTCAATCATCACCACTAGTTATCCACATCTGTAACCACTGCCAGTTATCAACATCAACCACCCTCATCAAGTCATTACCAGTTATCCACACCTGCAACCACCCACACCAAATACTCCACACCAATTACCACTACTAGTTATACCAATTACCACCACCAGTTATCCAAACCACCCACCCACACCAATTACCACCACTGGTTATCTACACTAACCACTAACACCAATTATAACCATCAATTATCCACACCAACCACCCACTCAAAATACCAACACCAGTTATTCAAAAGAACCACCCACACCAATTACCATCACTAGTTATTCAAACCACCCACACCAATTACAACAACAAGTTATTCAAACCACCCCTACCAATTACCACCACCAGTTATCTTTACCAACCACCCACACCAATTACCATCACCAGTTATCTATACCAAAAAAAAAAACAAACAAAAAAAGTATAATATTCTGTTATTGAATTTAGAAAAAAAAACTTACTGAAATAAAGTACAATGATTTTTTTCAAAAGGAAAACTTTGCAATTTCACACAGACTCCAGGGGACATGAAATATTAGGTTGTCATGTTTGCCCTAGCAGTGAAACCTTTTTAAAATTGCTTTTTTTAATTTTATTCAAGTACAAGCTGTATTTACATGAGATTAGAAAACACAACTTAGTAAGAACACAAATATTGTGACCTTCCTCATAACATTGAGAGATTGCAATAACTGATATATACTGTCTTCAGGGTATCCAAAGCAATGGCATTGATTTTGTTGCTCTGTGTTGCTAGCATAATGATGCATTCCCTTTTGTCATTTTTATCTTTTCTTGTATTTAATAGATTGTAATATAAACTTCACTCTACTGAGTTCTAAGGATTGATTTGAAATTGTTGATTGTCCTAGCAGCTTGATAAACTGCCTTTGAAGTTGCTGTGCATGTATAATGTTACATGTCTCATAGTTTAGAGGCCAAAGGGTCAAGTAACACTTAGTAACAGAAGTTAATGATCTTTAATATTACAGTTATTGGTGACTTATTGTCAGATTCAGTATCTCATTTCCTTGCAAGACATCAAACATGGTGCATAAATGGTAATCAGGGAGGTTTTTACCCAATGTGAAAATGTAGTACAGTGTAACATGTTTAAAGCAGACATGCTTACAGTGAATCCTTATGTCTTTAAAACATTATTGTGAACTCTCAATGACTAGAGCAAATTATGTTTATAACAAAGCAAAATCATCCATCAATGGCATTTCAATTTGATGAAGCATTTTACTGTAGTACTTCAAAAGTTATGCTACATACTTAAGTAAGCTGCAATCTACTAGCAATTCCATATGTACTGTATTTTTAAAAAAAAAAAATTAAACCTTTCTCCAGAAGTAATTAGAACATCTGAAAAACATACAGCTCTTTTTGTCTCTGAGTTACACAAAGCTGACTAAACTTCTACACACTGAGGTAAAGATATTGACCAATTTGTCTTTTAGTGTCCATTATGTCAGAATTATTTCTAATCATCCATTTTGCAGACAAATCAATCATTTGGTAGGCCAGTAATGCAATTCTCTTCTATTTCATAGATTCACAAGTAAAGTTTTCTTCTCGATGAAGAAGCAATTCCTTGCTCAAGAGATGGTGTGAGATAATGAAAATGTGATTTTTTGTTTGTGAAAAAAGATAAAACTTCAGGGGTGGTGAGTGGGCCAGACAATTCTTAAAAGAAACCTAGTGTTTCAAGTACGGCACATTACTTTCAAATTATCATGATATACGATCTTCAGCAGAAAATTAAGCTGGATGATGCCAAAAAGTGCACACTGCATTCCAAACCGTTTCAAAAATCTAAACATGTTCCAGAAACACTATCACTTTTTGAGTCAGTGTTTTGGATCCATTCAATCTTTTGGTTTTTCTTAGAGCAAGGCTTCTAAGACATTATTGTTTGATTCTGACAGATGTGACAAAGATTTATAAACAAAGTTCTAAAAATAGCTGTGCCTCATCCTCACGTGGCAACTGCGATGTTTGGCATTGTGTCACCACCACTGCATTCTTGGCCTGGGGTGTTTTTTTTTGTTTTTGTTTACATTCCTTCCTGCTGTCTCTTCCATACTCGTTACTCAACATCAAACAAAAATCAAAGCAAAGTCATCCTGCTAGAGGAAAAGTTTTTATAATAAAGAAATGGAAGTGGAAAATTCATACTATAATTACCAACAAGCCGTACCAGTATATTTCAAAACAAATTGAAAAAAGACAGATAATGGGATGGGTTTTTTTTCTTGGTTGAGAGTTTTTGAACTTATTCCAAGGAGAAAAAAAAATTAGCTGATAACACTTGACAAGAATTATTTCACTTGTAGGATTGGCTACAGGTTTAATTAAAATAAATATACAACCTTAAAAAAAATGAGGAAAAAATTAGTAAAGGGATGTTTTTCCATTCAGAACATGGATTGGGTGTTAAATTAGAAAAAGGAAGTACAAATGAATAACACATGCCTCTACTTCTATTTGAAATATACAATTTATTTATTTATTGTTTTTGGCCTATTTAATAATTAGATTAATTGATTTGTGTCGATAGAGCTCAGATCGGGTCACTGGCGAATTACATTGAAGTCATATGTTAGTCATGTTATTAGTGCATGCTTACTGCACAGTGTTCCAATCATGTACCAATCATATGTTTCTAGCTAAACCGTTTACAACAGTGTTGATATGGCTGAAGAAAATTTTGTTTCAAGTAATTGGGAGGAAAAAAGATCATTTTGAGGAAATCAGTGGATTTTTTTTAATGACTGACATATTTTCCTTGGAATTAATGAGCTAACACGTGCAGAAAACTAAGTTGGTTTTTAATTAATTTCATTGAAGTACATATATGTTAGTTTAAAATGAACTGTTTTTAGCTCGTGAATGATAGGATTTTGCTGATCTAAGGAATAAAGGAGTGTTTCTATTCACTGCTACAAGGTAAAGTTGCAGATGTTTTGTGTCTTAAAAAATTGTGATCCATAGAGATCTTGTCAGCTCATTTCAAGTACAGTTTCATTTGTTTTAGATATCTTTTTTATTTAGTTTTCCTTATAAACAAGGTCTGGTATTATAGCTGGGACATATAGTGTTTGCCATGTTTGTTTTCCATCCTTCCATCCTTCCATCCATCCTTCCTTCTGTCCTTCCATCACACTTTGCGCTTAGCTCAGTTTCAAAGAAACTATGCAGGATATTTTTATCAAAGTTTATATGCTGATAGATATTGATGAGAGCTATGCAGCTGCATCAACATTTTTTTTACCTTCCTTTGACCTTGTCCTCACTTCTCTTAAACTAGTATATTAGCTCAGTTTTAAAGATACCATTCAAGATGGTGTAGTGATAGTGTAATCAAACTTCATATGTTGATGCATAATGATTTCTTAAGCTATTCAATGCATCAACATTTTTTGACCTTGTTTTTTCCTTTTGACAAATTGACTTCACTTTTCTTTAAATTAGTGTTTACTGTAGTTTTAAAGAAACCATTCAAGTTACATTAATCAAACTTCATATGCTGATATATCGTCGCTGTTATATCAAAATGTCTTAAGTCGATTTTTGGCGCGAAATTTTTATTGCTAATTTGGAATCTGCAATATCGAATACATGTTCTATCAAAACGTCATGTCTCTAGGCCAATTAGAAAGTGAGATACAGACGTGTGATAAAAGCTCGTATGTCCATTGGATGCATTTTTTTTCTGACAAAAGGTCGTATGTCTCTGGGCACTGACAAGGATGTCACTGGCCGTCTGATATCAAGGTAAAAATTATAATTTTAGTTAAATCTTTTATAATTTTTATTAAAAAATGTGTTCAACATAGAAAACAAAGTATATTTGTTTAATAAACAGAGAAATCAATGGAATTAGATTGATGAAAAGTTAGATGTAAGGTTACTTCATGACAAACTGAATTCTGTTTTCGCAGTTTGTAACTGCAATCAATTTATGAGTATGTTCATATAATACATTTCAGAGCGTTCTAATATCAGATTTGTACGCTTACAATACATTGCAGGGATTTGTTTCAATGCTTTACTGGAGATACGACAATTTGTACAGAAAAAACATCCTGGACAGAAGGGAAAACACTAGACATACGACATTTTGAAAAAAGATGTTTTTTGTCTCTCCTGAAAAGTTGGGATTTTTGACTTACAACAATTTGATATTACAGCGACGATATACTGATGTAAGCTTTTCAACTGCATCACCTTTTTTTGACCTTGACCTTTTGTTTGACCTCACTTTTCTTAAATTAGTGTCTAGATCAGTTTTGAATAAACAATTCAGGATATATTTACAACTTGTTGTTGCAGATTACCAGACAAACTATTTTTTGATCCCTTATCACACAGTATATGAGTATTTATTCCTTTAAATTACAATGCTATTCTATGAGCCCTTACTCTTGGTTATATCATAATCTTAGGAGCATTAAGGCCTTTGGGCCTCTTTTTTCTAGTGAGACATAACAGAAGGATTTATAGTGTCTGGGAAAATTTTGAATTATTACATATATATGATGTTTCTGGTTTGTCTAATACAAACTCCATTATTGATGCCCTGGATTTTGATTGGCAGAATATTATCACTTTCTATCAGCTCTGTGTCACGTCACATAATCTCACTTAATCCAGAGGCTTTGGCATCGATGTCCTTGAGGAAATGATTTTACTGCTGCTTAGTGACAAATTAATGTTTTGATGCCTCAAATAATGACTACAGAATCATTGTACAGTTCCAAATTGATGCTAAACTCATGTAATATTTCACAGTTTTGTACTAAGTTTTCTGTATTGCATCTCTGTAATGCTTTCAAAGCTTTCAACCGTTTGGTGAATAATTCATTCTAAGTGCTCAGACTACAGCTTTTGATATTAATTTTAGAAGAGGCATGTATACACTAAGGCTAGCATTGTGGCCCATGAGCCTATTGATCAATTTTTTTTCAACTGTTTATAGACCAAATGAAATTTTAATTCTATTCTCATGAATTTTGTTCTTGTAATCAATCCGTTTGAATACACAATTTTAACCTTATCTGTAATCACCAATGGAAAAAAAGGCTCCATTTGTGTGTGCTTCATCAAATAAAGTGTGTCAATGGTTATTGCTGATGGAAGTTTTCTTTTCTATGGGGAAATAAGGCCCTATATTGATGGTAATGATATTATACTCTATGTATGAGGTAGGACTATTTTATTTGACCAGGTCACAACAGGCGAATTCTGCAGAATGCACTGAAATTATTGATTTATGTAGACTTACACAATGGCCAAATTTCATGCAAGGTCATCATTAATCAAGCCCTGTGACCTATTAGTTTCACTTACATACTAATGATGCTCTAATGTTACTGGGTCTGAGGTACATTTTAATAGTGAATGAATGGCTTCATCAAAATCATTCTGTTCTCATATGAAATACAGTAGAAACTAGATTACAAGGTACTTGGATATAGGAAAATCTTGTTCATACTTTTTCACCTATCCTTTATATTACTTTCTTGTATGGATAATAATTTAAAAGAATTAATCATTAGGATCTAAAACAGTATGTTCTTTGAGGACTTTTCAGTAAGCATGTTTTACTGTGAAGACTACAAGCAAAAGGTGTCCGATATCTGAATGAAATCTGCAGGATCAATGACGAATTCACCAAACTGGCATTGTTTATAAAATTAAGTCCAAAACTAAAATATGAGGCAACGTCAAAATGCTGGCCTTAAACAAATTTGTGTTACCCTTGTAACAACAACTTATTATTTAGTAGCCTGCTATAAGGCCAGGGAAAATTTTTACCAGGTCTGGCTAATTTGCAGTTCAGGTTTTATATTTGCCATATACCACTCAAGGTTAAACAATTTCTACATAACTTGACATGGGTTTGTAAGAACCACACAGTTTTGAACAAGAGGACACCAATGAAACCTTGCATAATCACCTGTTCTTCTGCAATTTAATGCACTTAAACCACCCAGCAAGATTTACTTTGTAAGATAAAGTGTGATGGTCTATGACCAAACAACAACAAGGCATTCTTTGCACTTTGAGTCAGCTTGTAATGTGTCGGGAAGGATTAATCATGAAGAAAGGTAATTATGTAACATGCACTTGAAATAATGAAAGTTCTTAGGAGATGATTTGGAAAGTCCTACCACTGCTATGGAAATTCGAGTTACTGTCCTGTAAATGCCAATCAAGTTTAGGAAAATTTGGTTATATTGTCTGACAGAGGACGGAAAGAGGATCCTAAATTCATTTTGAACAGACGCAGACAGTAGATTTTTTCTCTCTCATAATTTGGGATGTAATTGCTCTTCAAAATTACTTCAAAGTGCTTAAGGATTATTTCTTACTCATCTGGGTTTTTTTTTTATAGACAAGGATGTAGCATGACTGTTTTAGTATGGATGTAAGGCTATAGTTGTAATCTCGAATGGTGCTTGAAATAATGCGTAAAATGCCAAAATAGGAATATTTTTTTATTCTTTTGCAGCCATTGTGCAATTTTCATTTTACTGTAGGACTGATTGATCATATGATTATATTGGGGTTGATATTTTTGTGGATTAATATAAAATAATAGGAATATTTTTTGGTAATTGTAGCTTTTTGCAGCCTTTGTGTAATTTTCAGTCTTTCTGTGACTGATTAATCATGTGATTATTTGGGGTTGATATTTTTTTGTAGATTACAACAAAGCATCGTCTGCCACCAGACAGTTTAATTTGAAGCAAGAAAAACCGCCACCCCTTCATCATCAGCAGAAGCACATCCCATAATTCGCGGAGACTCGTCACTGAATATTGGAGAAAAGCGATTCACGCTCTCAATAGCTTCCTGTGCGAACACACATAGGCTTGGCTGGTCTGCTTGAGAGAGAGACTGCGACAAGGCCCACTCTCTCGTTCCACGGAATGGACGATACAGCAGAGTCCCAGCTTCAAGGTCTTAATTTACAAGGTAAGAATGTTAATTAGTGAAAAAGGATCAGTTTTTCCTGTGTTTTTCAGCTGTTGATACACTCTGAAGGCTTTATGCCATAAAAAGGAAAAATTGATAGAAAATCAATACGGTAGCAGACATGAATTTGTGTTTAAGTCTGGCTTTGGGATTAACAGGATTGCTGTAAGTTTATTCTAAGATACTACTGTAGGAAACCATGTTTCATTGAAACATGTGCATCTCATGACAAGGTTGTACATGAAAATTAGACATTAAAGACCTTATTTACTGTACATTACAAGTCAATCCTTGTACTTTACAAAATTCAGGTAGAGCTTAGATTATGGCATATTGCATGATTTTACATTAATTATAAAATGAAAACTAAACCAGGTTTTCATTTCATTGTTCAATGTTAAATTACACTCTGATGACATCTCTTCTTCTAAATTTTAATTTTGGCCTGGACTAAGTACATTTTTTTGTCAATATAAGCAGTTTTAATGTTGAATATTTGAGAATATGGTCGTAATGCATCTATTGATTCAGAATATTGGTTTTTTAAAATTAGAGGAAATATTCAATGATCTTTGAAATAATATTCAGTAATTATGTCATAAAAAGGTTTTATTCATTCACATCCCACTCAGTCTTAAAGAACATGCCTGTACCATCATTTTCATTTTTTTTCATATATCCATGTGAAATGTCATAGCATTTTCATCCATTTTCATCCCGTATAATATCATAGCATATGACTTGCATGATGGGAGTAGGTTTGTCCATTACATTCCCTTCTACTCAAATATCATGAGTATAATTGTCTGCCTCAGTCCGTAGAAGTAATCAATACAAACCTCTGATGTTTTCCTGCAGGCTTCAGATTAAAAACATTGAGTCTTCTACTGTAAGATTAAAAAAAAGATACTCAACCCGATGGACAAGAACGGTGTAGGATTGAACACCATACTGAAGACGTTTGTCAAAAATATTCCTGCTGTGTTTGGTCAGCGATTGATGACCAGGGCATGCAGGTATTGGAAAAAATATCGAAGTCTGTGTTTGAATTGTAATTATATGAAAGGGTTATTGGTTTCACAATGATGATTTCTTCTTTAAACAGAGGCTGTATCAGTGAGAATAGGAATGGCGCTTTTTCTAAGTCTTCCCTTTAATTATTGATGGTTTCTGCCATTACTGTATGTAGTGACTCTGAAATCATGATTCCAAGAGTGTGTATAAAGATGCAAACATGAGTTTTTGGGCTGTATTATATGAAATTCTGTCAACATCTGCATTGGTTTTCTAAAAAATTGAACATCTTCTGTCAAAAAAACTTGAGAAAGATGGATTGCCTTAAGGTGTCCTTTTGTCATCTTGTTCCTAAGTAATTTAGTCTATGTCAGAAACAATTTGTAGAAGACTTTTGGGATAGGTATCAGTTACAGCTTATGTGCTAAAGTGGGATCATTTCTTATGCAAAGCATTTGTGTATGGGAATTGCTGCTGAATTCAACAGATCATTCTTAGAGTATTGCAGTCAATGTTAGCATTTTGATGGAATAAAACATTCAGAAAATATTGATCGTTCGTGAAATGCTGCATATCAGTTTGCTAATGTGTCATTCTTAGTTTATCGCATTGCAATTATGAAAGCAACTTTCTTATGGCAGAGTTTAAAGATATCCATTAAAGATATTGAATTACTGGATAAAAACAGGTTTATCTTGGACAGGTGACAGGTTATTTGTAGACAAACTGGATAGGTCACAGGTTCACTGTAGACCAGCTGGATATTTCAAAGGTTCACTGTAGGAAAACTTGATAATTTATGTCACAGGTTCGCTGTAGACAAACTGGATAGGTCAAATGTTCACTGTAGGAAAACTGGATAGGTCACAGGTTCACTGTAGACAAACTGGATAAGTCACAGGTTCACTGTAGACAAACTGCGTAGGTCACAGGTTCAGTGTTAACTGTAGACAAACTTGATAGGTCACAGGTTCACTGTAGACAAACTGGTTAGATTACAGGTTCACTGTAGACAAACTGGATAGGTCACAGATACAATGTAGACAAATTGGATAGATTACAGGTTCACTGTAGACAAACTGGATAGATTACAGGTTCACTGTAGACAAACTGGATAGGTCACAGGTTCAGGTTCACTGTAGACAAACTCCTTTGAATGATGGTGCAGGTAAAGGTACCCTTTTACTTCTGAGTGACTTGAAACCATGGATAGAAAAAACATGCATTACCTTGACATCAAACGGCTTCAAACTTAATGTGCTCATTAAATTAATAATTTGAAATACATGTAGGTGAAGGTGATAATTTGAACCTTTCCTTCTAACATGTTTAGCTTGATTTGTCTGTTATCCTTTGATTGAGCTTGCTAACCATTTTAGAAACAAATTAACAAATTAATTATTCATCTAAATTAGGTTTTAATATTCATTAGGTAGATTTTTTTTTTTTGAAAAAAGCTGAAGGCAGTTAATGCATAGTGATTTTTTTTTTGAATATATTAATACTGTAAAAAGATCTGTAAACAGGGTGTAAAATATGGACCATTGAAAATCCAGAGGTAGGATCAGCTGCCTAGGAGGAGTGAGCATCCCCTGTTGACTAGTCTAACCTGCCAATAGCCCTCTGTATTGATCATATAAATGGAACATTATGGAAGGTTGTGTTAATGTATGAGGTCATAGGTCAAGACCAATATTCTGTAGTATTTTGTCAAGGTCATAGGATTGTTATGCAGAAACTACAGAAGCAATGGCTCAAAGGTTTCTTATTATGACTGGTGATATCATATGATTTATTTTTATAAGTCATTTTGAGAAGTTTTAGCCTGCATAAAATGGTAAGGCAGTACATTAAACAAATATTTTGTATTATAACTGAGCTTTTAAGGCAATTTGCATAATGCTTAAATAATGAGGATGACAATTTCGTCATCTTAATTTTCTACAAATAAAAAAAATTCTCAGATTCTGACATTAAGGTCTCAATTTATATTCTTGCTTTGAAAATCTTAAGCAAGAAGATTGATTTTCAGGTAAACGTGAAGTTATTTTCGAAATGACAGACTTCATATTCACAGCTTGAATCTGTCTGCGACCTTTTTATTTCCAAATGAAGGAAGTTCATAACTGATTTACATAAGCGTAGGAAGTTTACTAAAATACGCTGCATAATCCAAAATCTGCAAGCAGTGGCCCCTACGGCCTTAAAGCATCATTTTCTGCATTTGATCAGTCACCTGGAAATTCCAAATGCTTTAACTCATTAAAAATGCAACAGAACATGTCTTTTCTGCAATTGGTGCCATATGAAAGAGTTGCAGACAAACTGTATTGATTGTTTGATGAAGGGGATGTCATTTAATTAAAACCCAGCATGCCAGAATCATGAGTCATTTAAATCAACTGATACCTGAAATCAGATCACCAAATATTGAAGAAATGGACTGGAAGCTTGGACATTAATTTGGACAAATTTTGTTCATTGATATTGTGACTGCCTTTGAACTAAGGCAGCTTATTCGATATCTTGTATATTCTCTCCATGTTGTCAGAGGAATCGATGAAGGTCTAATTCGAGAATGACTTTTCGGAGTTGACTACCGGTGGGACGGAATAGAGTGCATTTCGGTACCCATCGCTCATCATAGGAAGGGCCGAGAGAAGTAGTAATGTATCATAGAGAGAAATCAATTTTCGTTAGCTTTCAAGGTTTTCAGTTTTGTTCCTATGGTGGTAATAATTGGAGGCTTTCTCATATTTCTCCTCTGTCTGCAGTTCTCCTAAATAACTGTAAACTTAAAGCTTTAAAGTGCGGTTGGGTTATTGCACTTTCTTTGAGTTTTTAAGACTTTGGTAAAGAACAATCATTTTTAAACAGATGTGTATTTTAAAACTTTCTTTTTAAGCTAACCTGATCTGAAAGCTCAAGTGAGCTTTTCTGATCTTATATTATTTTGTCTGTAGTCCGTCTGCCTTTTCATCCATTTGTCTTAATACTTTTCACATTTTTTATATCTTCTCTAGAACCACTGGACCAATTTCAGCCAAACTTACAACAAAGCATCCTTAGGTGAAGGGAATTCATGTTTGTTCAATTGGGGGGCCACACCCTCATTCAAGAGAAGATAATTTTGAAATACTGAAAAGCTGGTGGCATTACTTTTTTTAAAAATCTGTGAGCACTTTTCAGAAACTACCAAAAAAGTTAAAATTAAAGGGAATTTTTAAATACACACATATAGTATTAACTATTTAGAAAATCAACTTTTTAATTTCTTTTAGTTTATCATGCAAAGGGAAGGAACTGCAACAATAACTGTCAAAAATGTCTTTCCCAATCCCTGAGGCTTCTGTTCTGAAATACAGCCTAACCTCGACTTGATGGACTAAAGATAAAACTTTGAAATACCTGAGGGTTTGAGATAGTGAGGGACTGTATTACATCAAAATTGTTTGGACTTTCAAATCACTTTGATATATCGACGGTATTCAAGATATCAGAGTTCGGGATAATGAAATTCAACTGTATGGAATTCCTCTTCCCCAGACTTGTAAATCAATGTGGGAAGGAGAAGATTAAAAAATATTAATACGATATGCTATACTAGTAAGTCGATATCATTTAGGCGGGAAGAAGAGATAAAAACTATATGGAAAAGTTCAGGCTTAAATTGATGAATTTACAGGATTTCTTGTTGTATAAGGACAGCTTTATTGCTTGCATTACAGAATCCGGAAATAATTTCAGGAAAATGAATGATTTCTGTTCGAGTGATATGTACACATAATGTGCATGTTGACATAGTGGTTGAAGATTATGCAGAAGTTAATATTGTCATAGCAGTGCACAATAGGGAATATGCATGCATCACCAAGGCAGTTATTACGTAATATTTTCCCAGTTAATTGATTTAATTGATTTTTTTGTATTCTTTAATTTAACTTCTGATGAAATCATCTGCAGTATTTGCTAATTAGATTTTCAAT